TCTGAATTATTTTTAAAAACACAAAACAGTGGTGTGGTAGTAAAGAGTGATGAGCATACAGAAAATGTTGATTATTATGGAAGAATCAGAAATATTTTAGAGATATCATACATAGGTGGTAATTCAGTCATATTATTTCAATGTGACTGGTTTGAAGTTCCACCTCAAGGTCGAAGTCAAAGTAGAGGTTACAAAAGAGATGAATATGGATTTGTATGTGTAGATGTGACACAGATTCATTACACAAATGATCCATTTATTTTAGGCTCACAAGCTCAATCTGTGTATTATCTTAAACATGGTCAAAATGAAAAATGGCATGCAGTGGTAAGGGTAAGACCACGAAATTTGTATGATGTACCCGAGCAAGAAAGTGAACCAGAGCCATATCAACTAATTGACTTGGTTGAAAGGGGAGAAACAAGTCTTCAAGTAGAATCGGATAATGATAATGTTACAATACAAAGAGAAGACATTGATGGAGTGAGTGTTGAAGCACCTTCTCTCAATAATGAGGAAGAAATAGACCTAGAAGTTATTGATGAATCTGATGGTGAAAATGGAGAAAACTTCAATAATTTTTCGTCAGATGGAGAATATCTTTCTGAAGATGAACATGAAGCTGACGAAGATGATGATTGGTTGTGCTTTTCAGTTAGTGCACAAGATAATTTTACTTATTACAATCACTTCTTTTAAAAGATTTAGCTCCTCCCATCTACATGCATCTTAACCGTTATGCTTGTTGTTGAAAATAATGTTAACTGAATTATTTTTTGGACATTTGGTGTTGCTCCATATTAACTGAATTATTTTTTGGACATTTGGTGTTGCTCCATATTGCTGATTCTTTTTTTTGGTCTATAATTACTTCATGAAAATTGTAAGATTATGATAGTTTATGTTGATGTGCTCAATTATTTCTATTAGTCAACCAAGATAACTATAACATGAAACTAACCCCTTTGGTTGGTTGTTTATTGTGCCAACGACGCGTAAACAACTTGTTAATATTTTATCTTTGCATTATAATTTGAATTATTTCTCTCAATTTCTAAGCATATTTTGTCTACTTTCTAACATTTCTTTTTATTTATATTCTAGATTTCAATAGTACAATCATTTTTAACATGTGTTTCAGTATATCATGATGACAAATGTGCCTGTTTCTGAGAGTATAGGAACTACTAATGTAATTTCGCATCCCCAATCAGGTAAATTAATCATTCACTAATTATTATTTTTTAATTTTTTTTTAGCTTTTATGTATTTTGCTTATTGTAGATCTAAATACTTTCTTATATTTTTTAGGACAAAAAAGAATGGGGAGGGGAAAGACAACAAGGCTTTCAATTCAAAAGAAACGTAAAAATATAAATGGCAAGTTAAGTGTGATTATTCCACCGGATCAAAGAGTTGCATTAGGTCCTGGAGCTAACGATTTTGTTACCGAGATTTCTGTGAAAGTTTTTCAGCATGCTAGGCATGATATCAAGAATTGGAAGAATGTTTCTGATCTAGCAAAAGATAGAATCATTGCGCATATACTGGTAATTTACTTCATTTCTCCTAAAAATCTGATCTAGCTTGTAAAAAGTAACATCCTAATAGCTGATAAGTGTTTGTTCAAATAAGACTAATCTAATTTTATTGTTTAATTTTAAAATTAGGTGTAGAGTATAAATGTTGATAGCTTAGACAGAGTATTTTTTGTATTTTCGAGCATATCATCAGACTAACTTGATTTAGTTTGTTAGTATGTATTTCACTAGAGTGACAACCCTATTTCTTAGGGGAAGAAAAAAGGGTTGATTCTTTTAAATCTTTACCTGAATTTAATTGTAAGAGTAAAATATCTTTTGGATAGAAAACTTCTAGTAATTATTGCAGAAGAAAGTTGTGAAACATGAGACTTTATGAACTTTATTTTTTTATTAGCTATTGATAAGAAAATGCCTACAATACTTTTTTGTCTACTAGAAGTGATCAAATTACTTGTCGAAATTGTTTAACATATTGAAACAATTGGTAAAGCATGAGAACTTTTGAACTTAGAAATAAGATGAATCTTAATTGATGAAGCTCGCAATATAACCACAGACCAATAATCTGGAAAAAAAAAACCAATTCAAACATTTGTATTTTTTTTATATTGCATCACACTCCAATCTTTACTGTCCAATTAAGTAGTATTGCAAATTTAAACTTGCTATACTATCTAATGCTCAGTTTTCTTCTCATGTTGAACAATTGTTGTCTAGTTCTTTTGTCTAAATATTATAGTCTCAATCATATAAGATAATTGTCCAACAAGTTAAGAATTATTTTAACTCTAGTTGTGCTAAGTCTACTTTTTGCTTATATTTATTTGTCAATGACAATTGATTTCCTAACTGTGTTGTTGTTATAAGCTGTAGATATCTTCTAATAAACAAATTTGGGGACAAGTTACTATGACCTTGATATTTCTCTTCATTCTTACATGAATTCACTGTATTAATCTGATTATTTTTATGGTTGTTATCCTTCTATTAGCAACTTACATATATGTTTCCTATTTTTTTCAAGAAGCAAATAATAATTATTTTATTTTTTAATTAGTCATATACAATCAAAGTTCTATTTCAAGTAAGTTCACTTAAATTTTGTTGTGAGCAGGACACCTTCCAACTATCCGACACACAACATGTGCGGCATACTATCTTGGATCAAGCTAATAAACTATATCGATATCGTCGTAGTAGACTCCATGATCATTTCAAGAAATATGCTACAAAAGAGGAGACCTTTTTGAACATGCCAGCAGAGGTTAATGAAGTTGAATGAAAATTCTTGGTGGAGTATTTCAGCTCAGATTCTTTTAAGGTAATTAAGAGTACATCAGAATTAAATGAATTTAACAATATTATTATTTACTTTATTGGTTTTCTTGTTATAATTAAATTTATGACACTTAAAAACTCAAATTTAATGCAGAAAATGAGTGAAAGAAATAAAGCTAATAAAGCAAAACAAGAAATACCTCATATTTGTGGAAGTAAATCCTTTTGAGCAGTATCTTTAGAAAGGTGATGAGATATTTCTTTATTTTTGTGAACTTCAATCATTCTTCATTCAACTTCATAATTTGATTTCTTTTGTTAGAGAGACACAAACACTGGAAAAGAGCCAAATTTTCAGAAACTTTGGGAGTTGACTCACATGAAGAACGGACATTGGGTTAATGATGTATCTTCTGAACTGAATGTACATGCATAACTCTTATCTTTATTTTTAGAACATAAAAATATCAAAGCATTATATTAAAAGCGTAAGTTTGTATTACTCTTTTGCAGGATAAGGTGAAGGAAATTGTTGCTGATCAAATTCAAGAAAATGAAGAGGAAATCGATACAGATCCTATTGCTAATGCAGCATTTGTGAGAATTATGGGAGAAAAGTCGGGATATTATCGTGGTCAAAACTTAGGAATTAAGCCAAGCAAGAGATCTATGAATGAAATTCAAGAGCAACTACAAGCACAATAAAAAGAGACAGAAGAAGAACGTCGTAAACGTGAGAGTGTTGAAGACAAGCTAATTGAAGTTCAAAAAAACTTGAAGAGGAGCAAGAAAATCGAGAAGTTATGTAAACTCGTCTAGTGCGCGATCAAAAAATGGTAAAAGAGGGCATAAAGGCACTGGTATCCCATATGCAAATTTCTAAGGTACAAGCGTTAATGATCAATTTCTTGCTTTTGATCCTAAGAGTATTTTGATTATGCTATTCTTAAAAAACTTGTCCTAGTTATTTTGACGTTATAACATAGCTTATCTTTATTAGATCAATCATTTTTCAATTCCTTATATTTGCTATTCTTAACAGAGTGGTCTTCCATCTGCAATTCTCAACATTATTACCGATTCAAGTGATTCAGATGTTGCAAATCCTACAAGTCTTATGAATGACATCGGGGTAAGTAAGTTTAAATTTTAAGTTTATTACAAGAGACTTTATTACTGAAGGATAGTTAGAGCTTATTCATCTAAGACAAATTGTCACACCCCTTTTCGCGCACAGCGGCAGAAGGGTTTTTCCAATTTAAGTGACGGTATTGATTTAGGGATTATTTTATTTTTTCAGAGTCGCCACTTGGAATTGAGTTATGGTGTTCCAAGTCACCTTTTTTTTAATCCCTAATCAAAGGAAATGACTCTTTATTTGGTCTGCGAACCAGAAAATCAGGTAAGGAATTCTGTTGATCGAGGGGAAGGTATTAGGCATCCCTCGAGTCCCGTGGTTCTAGCACGGTCGCTTTTATTGACTTATACTTATCTTGATACATATTTGGATAATTTGTGTCTATATGCCAAAATTTGCTTATTTTTTAATTGTTGAATTTTTATTAGTCTTAAACCGGATGCATAACTGCATTCTCGATCTTGACATTTGGAGACATAACTGTCTTCCCCTCTCGATTTCATAACACTTAATAATTTCAATTTACACCTCTTGGTTTGAATTAACAAAAAATAATTATTAAAACAATTTGGACAAGGTGCGTCACCGCATCCTTGAGTTTCTTTTAAGTGTTTCAAAGAGAGATGTGTAACCACATTCTTAATTGAAACCGACCTTTGAAACGGGTCATATATTTAAATAATTTACCTATTACTAGACAACTTAAACATTTTATTAGTGATTAAATTACATTTTTTTTCTATTTATATTCATGAATACAATTTAAATAATAAAAGTCTAAATCTTAAACAAATAGAAAATTATTTCATATTCAATTTCGATATAGATGCATTTACATTTTTAGTATTCTTACAAGCTATGACAAAAGACATAAAAAAAATGTAACTCTTCATCTCTTAATTTTCTAAAATAAACATTTTTTAATTTTAGATAAATTTGACTAAACAAACTATTAGAATACTATTTTCATTGATTTGATTTAATTTTAGTTGGATATAAAAGGTGCTTTAATTGATACTAGCATATAGTACCAAATGGAAGATAACATAGAATAAAATAAAGAGGAAATATTTCAATATTATAGCATCAAAGTTCAAGATAAAAGTCAAAATATTTAGTTTAGATTATAAAAATATTTAAGCTCTAAAAATGGAGTTAAACTTAAGTTCGGTAAAAAATTACGTATCTACACAAATCATATGATTTTCAAGTAGATTCTTTAAAAGAATAATTGATTTGATTTTTAAATTGTCACGGTATCTTGTTATGGTAACTACAATGTAAAATTTATAAAAAATGAAAAGTGCTGAGTTTCTTAATATTTTTTAATGATGGACTTTAGATTGTACAATGACTTGTCCATTCCGTAAGAAAATCCAATTTCAATATGCTAATGTTCTTTATGTCTTATCATTGGATTGTTGGTTTGAATGACAAGTGAAACTGAAAAGTCAGCCTCGTATGTTTTATATCTATTTATTTTCAATGACATAAGTATATGATTGTTATTATTAGTTATACTTCTATAACGACAAGACTTCAAATCTTCTCGACTGCTCTTTTGACTACCAAAAAAGAACCATAAGTTGATTTGTTAGAGAACAATACATCAAACAAAAAAGATGTATTGTTCTCTAACAAATCAGCTCATGGTGCTCATTTGGTAGTCAAAAGAGCAGATTTGAAGTTCTCTTTCAATTTTGAGTAGTCATTGAAAAAATGATTAGATTGGACTATGATTTACTTTCCCGCATTATATGTTGTGCATATATTATATGAGTTCATGTGGTCACTATTTAGTCTTATTTCTCTTCTAAGTGAAAGGTCTATTTGAATTAGCTTCCCAACCCCCACAAAGGTAAAGATAAGATTGCATATATTTTATTCTTTTGATACTTTGTTTATAAATTTACATTGAATATATTATTTTCATTGATTTTTAAAAAAAATGTAATTGTATTTATCTTCTTTTGTAGGATGAACGTGCTTAAACCAACACTACTTACAATATGATTCATGTCATGCACAAGCTATCAGAGGAATATTTACTTGTTAAGTTACTAGTAGATTAGTACTACTTAATGATATTTCTTATATTATGTTTTTATTCATTTCGTAAATTAAGACATCCTATGTAGGAATTTTTAGTTTTTAAAATTCCAAATATCTAGTGCATCAGTTCTATGCATTGACGTTTTGATGACTAATTGTAGAAAAAAAAAATGTAATTATAGCCACAATAATGGTTGTTGTTAAAAGTCTACATAACAAATTGTTAACCGATTTTTCTGCCCATTATTTGCAACTACTAATTTTATTGGGAAAAATAATAATTTCTTGCAACAATTTTTTTGGTTGCTAAAGATTTACATAAACAACAATCGTGTACTTTTTACCAACAAAATATAATTTATGGTAGTAACTTTTTTTGTTGCGTAAGTTAACTTTTTACAACAATATTTTTTTGTTGTTGCAAAACATTTCCCAACAGCATTTTAGGCAACAACGTGCAACAAAAAGTTTTTTGTTACTAAAAGTACTTTTGGCAACAACATTGAATATATTGCAACAACATTGAATATATTGTTGGAAAATCCCTTCTCCATTGTAGTCATGTAATGGTAGGAAATGGCGATAAACTCCGTATTACATATCTGGGAGATAAATACATTGGAAGGAACATACGTCTAAAAGATGAATTTGTTGTACCTAATCTCAAAAAGAATCTCATTTATGTTAGTAAATTTGTAAAGGATAATGCATGTTCTTTGAAATTTACTGATGAAGGATTTATTGTTAAGGACAAGAGAACAAAGACAATTTTGGAAAAGGGAAATATGAGGCATAATATGTACACCTTGGAAGGGAATTTGCATGAATCTTTGACAGCTACAAAGGCAGAAAAGAATTCGGATAGTATCTGGCATCAATGATTAGGACATCCACATTCAAGAGCTTCAAATTATTTGCATCACAATAAGATGATTGATGTAGAAAGTTGGAATAAAAGTGTATCTATTTGTACTAGTTGTCAAATGGGAAAAAGTTGTAAATCACCTTTAAGCGAGTAAAATAAACGAGAACTTGAGCCATTAACAAAAATACATAGCGATTTATGGGGTCCGGCCCCTGTGACTTCATCTCAAGGAATAAAATACTATGTTGAAGATTGCACGATTCACTTGGTTTTATCCATTGAAGAAGAAATCTGATTTTTTTCTCTATTTTTATAACTTTTCAAAAAATAGTCGAAAATCAGTTTTCCAAGAAACTCAAAGTATTTCAATGTGATGGAGGTGGAGAATTCAATAGCTCTGAGTTCACAAATTATTTGGCTCAAAATGGTATTCGAAGACAAATATCTTGTCCTCATACACCTGAACAAAATGGAGTGGCCGAAAGAAAGCACAGACATATGGTTGAAACATGCCTGTCACTACTCTTCAATGCAAACTTACCTTGTGATTTTATTCCTTTACCTCATATAGAGGACCTATTCGATCAATTACAGGGAGTTGTCCACTTTTCAAAGATTGATCTTTGATCTGGTTATCATCAACTTAGAATCAGGGAGGAAGATATTTCCAAGACAATATTCAAAACTCGATACGGGCACTATGAGTTCCTTATGATGCCTTTTGGATTAACTTATGCTCCGGTTGCATTGATGGATTTAATGAATAGAGGGTTCATGCCATTTCTAGACAGGTTTGTGATAGTATTTATTGATGATATCTTGGTATACTCTCATAGCCAGGAAGAACACGAGAATCATCTGAAGACAGTGCTACAGACCTTGCGAGAATATAAGCTTTAGTGTGAATTTTGGCTAGACTCAGTAGCATTTTTGGGGCATGTGGTGTCCAAAGATGGGATCAAGGTGAATTCCAAAAAGACAGAAGTTGTGCATAAATGGCCCAGAACTACTTTGCCAACAGAATTTCAAAGCTTTTTGGGCTTGGCAAATTACTACAGCCGTTTTTTGCAGGATTTCTCCAAAATAACATCTCCATTGACTAAGTTGACACAGAAAAATGCCAAATTTCTGTTGACAGAAGAATGTGAGTAAAGCTTCCAGAAACTCAAAATGTGTTTGACAACAACACCTATATTGTCCTTACCATCGGGTTCTAGAGGTTTTACGGTATTTTGTGATGCTTCGAGTGTTGGTTTAGGATGTGTTCTTATGAAAAATGGTCGTGTTATTGCCTATGCTTCAAGGCAGATGAAGAGGTACAAACAAAACTATCCTACTCGTGATTTGGAGATGGTTGAAGTGATATTTTCTCTTAAAATTTGGAGGCATTATCTACACGGCGAAACTTGTGAGATATATACCGATCATAAGAGCTTAAAGTATATTTTTCAACAGAGAGATCTGAATCTTCGACAACGGCGATGGATGGAGCTACTCAAGGATTAAGATTGTGTTATTTTGTATCATGCTGGTAAAGCTAATGTTGTGGCTGATGCATTGAGTAGAAAATCTATGGGCAATTTAGCACATATAATTCCTAAAAAGAGACAATTGGCAAAAGATGTGCAAAACTTGAAGGCACAAGTGTCAGATTTAGTGTGGGAAATTCAGAGATATTGCTAGCTTGTGTGCAAGCCAAATCTTCAATAGTAGAGCGCATTAAAACTACTCAATATGAGGATGAACAGATTTGCAGAAATCGAGATGAGGTCATAACTGGTAAAAGTAAGCATATGATGGTCAACTATGCTGGTATGCTTCGACTAGGTAATCGGTTGTGTGCACCAAACATAGGCGGGTTAAGATGAGTTATTCTTGAAGAAGCTCACAACTCTAAATATACTATGCACCATAGTTCCACTAAAATGTATCATGACCTGAAGCAATTGTATTGGTAGGAAGGTATGAAGAAAGATATTACTAATTTGGTTTCCAGTTGTTTGACTTGTCAATAGGTTAAAGCAGAGCATCAACAACCTGTAGGGTTACTACAAGAGATCCAAATTCCAGAGTGGAAATGGGAAAGAGTCACTATGGATTTTGTGGTTGGTCTACCCCGAACCCTTAGAGGATATGATTCTGTATAGGTAATTGTAGACCGACTAACAAAACCATCACACTTCTTCCCAGTAAAGACTACATTTGGTGGGGTGAGATATGCACAGATATTTATGAATGAAATTGTTCGACTTCACGGAGTGCTAATATCCATCATATATGATAGAGGGTCACAATTCCTTTCACGCTTTTGGAGATCCTTTTAAGAAGCTTTGGGTACTCGAGTAGACCTGAGTACTTGTCACACCTCGAGGCTACCCCGAGACGCGGACACGGGATATAGGATAACAAGTGACCCCAAGCTAACCCTGCTGGCGTAATCATGAGCATACTAAAGATAAACTGAATAATAAAAACTGTGCGATAGCTATCATCATGAATAAAATGAAAAGATAGGGAATAATCATAAACTATAACTGAGATGAATGAAAACTGATGAGTTTAATACAAAGAAGATATTAACTCAATTCTATACTGAATCTAACCAAGTCTGAAATAAGCCTCTAAACTGACTAGAAATGTTGGGACATGCCCCAACTAGATCTACCAAAACTGAAACTAAAGCACTAAAAATACTGAAAAGAAATTAGTACCTATTGTCCTCGGAGAAAGAGGGCTCGCCATTGATTCTGCTGAATTAGAGATCAGAAAATGATCTAAGCGTGATCTGGATGCTGAGAACCTGAACCTACATAACGAGAAGATGTAGGACAGAGTATGTGTCAGTACTTGTAAGGTACTGAGCATGCAGGATAGAATAAAGTTGAAATAACATATAACTGAACAAAGCAAATAAGGAATGATATAATCTGAACATGATATAGATACTGAATACTGAGCTAACTGAATACAATGACCAATTTATAACATGCTGAGACTGAATACTGAATATACTAATACATGGTCAATGTAATAGAATCTGACTGAATTGTGGGAGCTACTAATAATCGATAATAAAACCACGTGAGCTAAATGTGGAGTCTGATGTATACGCCCCATCGAGAGGACCCAATATACCCTGCCAGGGGTATAGAGGCATACTGGTGTGATCACTGAAATGATGCCCATAGAGGGGACTTACAACCTACGTGGCTAGTAGTTTTCGGACTATTTGGTTACGCTAAACCCTAGTCCAACTCGGTATTATGCTACTCCCAATGGATTAAGTGATTAACACATTATGACTGAATTTCTGAAGTTACTGGATAGCTCAAACTGGTCATGCAAACTGAATATGGAACAATTAACTGATATTGATGCATTAATAACTGAGGCATGTATAACTGAATAACTGGAATATTTGACCTAGCATGTGTAATTCAAGAATTAAAGAAATACATAGCTAGGGTTTAGGAATTCATGTAATAAACTGAATATTAACACACTAATCTGATTTGGATCATTCTAACAGCTAAGAACCCAATAATTCTAACATTCAAGAAACCCTAGGTCTAGTCATAATAAGGGAATCAAGAAACTGATTGAAAACTAGGGACCTAATGGGGTGAAAGGAACCCACTAGTGGAATCCCACATACCTGGTGACGAATTCCACAGAGAAATCTTTAGACTTTGGGAATGGAACTGATGGAACCTTGTTGCGTTCTTGAACTAGGGTTCTTGACTTCTCTTCTCCTCTTACGTTCTAATTTTTCTAAGTTTTGATTAATGAGTTGACTTAGGTAAGTTCTAGTTATGTTTCTAGGCTTAAACTGACTAAAACCTCATAATTTAGGGTCTAAACGACGTAGCTTAGAGATCCAACAAAATAGGAAAAGACCAAAAGACCCCTGACTTAACTGTTGTGGGAATGACTGACAGACGGGACCTACAGTTCGTAGATTGGGGTCGTAGGTCAAGTATGCCCGACAGGACTTCATTAAAACTAGTATAACTCTTTAGTCGAAGGTTGGATTTCATCAAACTCGGTGGCGTTGGAAAGAGGATTCAATAATCTATCATATCATAGGTCATGGGACACATAATTCCTTTTGTGCTGGGAGTGATAACCATTTGAAGTTGACCCAATTAGCAATTTCCCCCTAATTGGCTGTTGGCCTTCACCAACGATCAGACCAACGAACCATGGATCGAACGACGGTTCGTACTGGTCGGCCGTCGTTTGCATCAGAGAATG